GATATTGTGATGCTATCATTTGATGTTCTTATTATGAATTATTGATTACTTTTTATTATTAATTTATCCTCCAGGACACATAGGTGGCATTTGCACTTCTGAATTGTTTACATAGATGAAGGCAAACACCTACTCTAAAGTATCACTATTTATAACCTTATTTAAACATTTTATTATTTCCTATTGAGGCATAGTGAAAGCTGAAGCAGTTGTCCGTAAGGATGGCCATTAGCACATTCAGACAAGTGATTTTCCCCCTTTGCTTCAGTCCACCTTCCGTGTTGCATACAAGGAGGACTGTTCTTGTGCCATAACTGAAAGTGCAGAAAACTAAAGGAAATAGCCCCCAAATTATCTTTTCTTTTCAATCATTTTTTTAAAAAGTTTCTAACCTTCGTGTTGTGAAGATATGCTGCTGTGGTTAGATGCTAAGCATAAAACATGATGGCTATTAGATGTAGTGCTGGGATTCTGGAATGCATACAGTGATATGGGGGGAGGGAGGTTTTAATACATTCAGGAGAGTGTTTGCAACTATGTGTTGGAAATCCTGCCCCCTTTTAAGTGTATTGAATCACAGCGTGTAAAAAAAGGGGACAGGGCTTTGAACACACAATTGTGAAGTTTGCTTTTTTAACTCTTCCCTCTTCCTTCCGGTCCCGTGGATGCTTCTGAATGCATAGTACTGTGTGTTCTCAACAATGCTTCCAAAACATTGTATTCCTTTATTCTCATTGCCTTAATTGCTGGGTTAGTCCCAGGAGTAACAAAATATGAGTGTGTATGAGAGTTGTAGGATGTTTAGGAACCCCCAAACAGCATTTCTGCTTTTATTCATTCATTTTTCAAATCTTAATATTTTCCTATAAAAAAGAGAAAATATATATCTGTTGTCTGAGGCTGAGAAATATTTATTGAAAGGTTGTAATATATATATATATATATATAGGTTTATACATTCTAGTAGTTTATTTTTTAATCCCACCAATAAAAGTAGCTAATTTCAATGAGCCTGTTTGAGACTTGAGTTTCTTTTTTTAATATTGAACCAAAGTCTTTTCTGGGTGTGATGTATGTGAAAGTCTTCTTTGATTTAATGGTGGGGATTGGTCTGTGATTGCATTGCATCAAAACAGCGAGATCTCCAATTCATACAAGAGAGCCACATCTACCACAGAAGGTATGTCATTGGGTTGGAAAGTACCTACTTTTCCTACAGTGGGGAAATGATACTCTTTGAAAAGTGGAACTGGCCTTCTACAGTATTTGGTACAGAAGATACTTTTGGACAGTCACCAACCAAGGCAGTGAAGCAACATATTCACCATCCAGGGCTCCTGTTGCCAGGGAAATTCAGGTTCCATTGCTCAGGTCAATGTGCAGAAAGGACATTCCAATACAAATATGCTTATTCCTAGATTTAAGGTAATCCAAAATAATTGGAAAATTAATAGATTATTTCTACAGAAAAATCCAAACCAACTCTGAGCTTTTGAAAACTCCACCTTACCAGTGGTACCACTACAGACTTCTGGTTGCCTGTCTGCTGAAGGCTGGGCTGGACTAGGCTGGGCTGGAGGTGGCATCATGAGAACATGCCCCTTTGAACATGTCCTGGCATGCTACACAGAATGATTGGGAGTTGCTATTCCCACTGATATGTGAATGTATGTGGTAAGGAAAAGAAAGCCGAGGAATCCAAAGATTGCTACTCTACAGCAAAGATTAAGTATGCAAGGACCACTTCACTTCCCAGTCTTGTTGAAGAGAAGTAAAACATGGTTGAGAGTCCAAATTATTTTGATGGACTTCTTTCCCAGCTCAAGGACAGAAGGATGTGCCCCTGCTGCCTGGTTGAAGGAAGATAGGTGCAGCTTCCAAAGCAATGTTTCTCCCACTTTAGCAACTTTTAAGATGTGTGGGCTTCAACACCCAGAATTTCCCAGCCAGCAAGGAGTTGAAGTCCATACATTTTAAAGTTGCCAAGATTGAGAAAGACTTCTAAGAATAGAGCAAGGAACAGCAATGGGGCCTTCCAAGGGATATCCAAAGGGATGTCCAAAAAATTAAGGAAAATATTTCTTGACACTGAACTCCCAATCCTAAATTGACAGCTTATGTTACTCTCTGGTAATAAACTAATAATCACAGGTTGTATTTTGCCTGCTCCTATCACTGATTACAGATTAACCAGAACTTTATGAATAGGCTTGAAGAAACCAATAACCTTGTAACCAGCCAGAATGGGAAACTTGGGTTTAATTTTGGCCTGACCTCTAATGTAACCTACTTTCTAAGAATGCTGGGAAGAGGATATGCACTCTTTAGTTTCCTGAAAAAAGCAAGAACACATTAGGATTTCAATTAATAAATTTTATACAAAGCTTCCTTGATGTTCTGCAGTATATAACAAAATACAGTGGGGCTCTAAGTTGTTAAAAATTCAGATGTGAAGGGAAAAAACTGAAAATAGAGGCCCAGAATAAAGTTGAGGTAAAATATATATATTTCCAGGTCATTTGAAGCAATTCCAATTTTTCACCCGGAATTATTGCCTTGCAAACCAACTAACACCCTTGTAAGGGAGCTCGGTGTTGTTGACTTAAATCAGGAAGTGGCTTGATAATTGTTATCTAGAATATTAGGAATGAGGCGAGAGTTGACAAGCTTGGCAAGTCTTTCACCACACATCTATGATGTTGACTTTGGCCTCCTGGACAAAGGCAGCATGGAGATCATGTTTAAGATTTGCCCACTTCTTAAGAGTGGAGGGATGAAGGAGTGGATCCAGATCAATGAGCACAGCTCTGTGTGGCTGTCCTGAATGCCAGCAAAAGGGATCTGAAAAACTTTCAAATACCCTCCATAAAAATGTCATGAAGAAAATAATAGGTGGCTTGAACAAGGGAGTGGAAGGACTTTTATTATTTCCATGTAAATTAATTTTACATCACAGTTTTGTGAATTCTGATCATTGTCATCAGAGGGCATCACATTTCATTTTCAAAGTGCGAATAAATATTTCACAGTCTTTGTCTAATTCACGTTCCTTTTCCTTCCCTTAACACTTCTAAAGACAACTGAGGCAGACTGATATGATAAATTCCCCAATTCACCAAGGTTGACTGTGTGAACAAATAATACAAGCTCTTATCTTCAGTTATGTTACAGAGCAATGACCCTGAGTGGCAGGAACGACAGGGACTACACAACCCCAAGTGTGCCAGAGTCATGTGGAAGAGCTGCCTGACTCAGGAAAACTGCCCACCTGCTGGCTGCAATCAGCAGCACCTGAAGAGTGTAAAACAATTAGGGGAACAGCATGGAAAACACATGGAAGATGGAAACCAAACTCCTTGTCACTGTCTATGACAAGATAATGTCTATGACAGTCAAATATGGTCCAAAACCAAGATTGCAGGCATGAATTTAGAAGTCAGAACTTCTAAATGGCTTTTAGGTCATCAGATAACAAAGGGACTCTCTTATCCAAGAGATACATTGAGTCTGGGGGAAACAGATTCCTCTTTTACCCTTTACTGCAGACCTCCAGCATCTCTTCTTTCTTGATAGAACCACCAGATCTTCTGCATGAGAAGAGTGTCTCTTACACACAGCCGTAGTTGGGAGAGACCACATCAGGCTCGGTGTCATGGTCCCCACACAAATATAAATGCAACATCCACACTCTGGGGCACAGTTTCAAGTGGCCGTCAAAATTCTTCGAGAAAAACACTTAATTTCTATAGATGTACATAGAGGTGCCAATGGAGCAGAGATACTTGCTTATACTTCCCTCTGAAGATCATTCATAAAATACGCAAGGTCTGTCATCTTTTGCATCAAACATGAAATGCACTTTCACAAAAAATATGAGCATTCGCCTTTTCTAACAGATGTTTATAAAATGATGTATCAGCCTGGAAGCTTCAAAAATATGCAAAATCAAAATTTAACAAAGTTTTTCTCCAAATCTAATACACAGAGTTGAGGTATGCTATTCTTAAATAGGGAGTCTTCATTTCATCTTGACTCTTTGAAGAATGAACTTAGATACTGGGCAGGTTTTGTTAAAAAAATCAGATATACTTGAAATTTCTCCTCAGGTCAGAGTTTTGTGCTATTTCCTCAAATCCTTCAAATCATACAGTGAATGTTATGCATAACTTTCAGTTTGCGACAGGAAAGTGAGAAGAGAAGAAATATGTAACTACAAGAACCTGTGTTCCAAATTCATGTTAGATTTAGTCTTTATGGTTCCTTGTGGTTCATTTAATAATCTAGGGGCACTCCACATACTGTAACAACTGCTTCCAATTCCATGTAGTTCAGGACATAGAAGCTGCAAAGTTACACATGCACCATGGATTGAGGAGAACTGCTTCCTACTTCTGCATTTGCAGAATTTCAGACCACCATTGTTAACTTTCCCCATTTCTAAGCAAGAAGATCCAGGAAATTTATCTTTTAAAAAAAAAAAAAAAAAGCCAAGATGTCTGTATGCAAGTTTGGCACATAGTGACTTAACAAAGCTGGATCACAAGTCTATGGAGGGAATTCATTTTGAGATTGCAAAGAATGTTTTCTTTCTCCCTCCTCCTAAAAAAAACCAACTGTAACGTGGCCTTCAGTTAAAATGAAAAAGATGCTGGTGTTCCCTTGAAAAGAACAGGAGCCCGCTGGGAAGAGTTTAAGAGGATCCACGTTGTCTCCCTCAGCAGCTAACCAGACAATCAGAAGCCTAGACACTGATATCTAGACCTGCCTTTTCTTACCAGCACTAATAATCAGAGGTAGGTTGTCCCTAGGGATTTCCCAGCTGGCATGGCTAAACTCCTTCAAGTCTTCCTGCCTGACCTTCTTGTACTTTGGTTGCACAACCCATGTTTGTCCTGGGTGCTAGAATACCAGGAGAGAAAATGGTCTATTTTTCCCCCCAATGGCCACCCACATTGTATACACTTTTAGTATTGTATACACTGTTAGTATTGAAAACCCAGGAAGTCTTTCATGGTTCAGGTACTTACAAATGCACTCCCAGGAACTGAAAAAGCTCCATTTTTTGCCTTCTAAAGACTTATCAAGTCAATCTCCTGGTGTTACACTAAATAATACAGGAACGTGCCTTTTTCCAAATAGCAGATCTGAGTGGCTCCTTCATGTCCACAAAAAGCTTGAGAGAGAAGGAAAAAGCAGGATCTGTTCTCCTGCCTATGACATACAGGGTTTTAATACGCAGGGGGATTTTTTGGCACAAGAGGTCATTTAGTCATGTACCCCCACAACCCATAAGGGTAAGTCAAAAAATATCTCTTTAAGTTGTGAGGATCCTTGGATGAGATGAATTTAGCTGGTCTTCCTCTGAAGGCTCCTTTCTGCTATGCTGATCACCCAGATGGAAAATACTTGCTGCCCATTTCCAGATGAGGGTCCAAATAATGCTATCTTATTGTTGATCCTGGTGCATAGATTGGCTCATTCTTCTCCAATCTAATACTTTCCAGATGGGTTGGAACTGCAACTCCCAGAATTCCTTTGTTCGCCTGGCCTCCAGACCACGGGCTAAGAATTCTGGGAGTTGCACAGTTCTGAAAGCCATGTTGCCTGAGGAGTTCTGGGAGTTGTAGTGAAAAATAAATCTGCCTGGTCCTAGTCTGAGGAAGGCTGGGATGAGTGTACATCCCATGGTTCTATCCTGAACCTGGAAAGAGTTGGCTAGATTTTCAAGCGATGTGCAAATATCTCCCTTTAGAAGGGTGACTTAGTTGTTTCCTTCTCTTCCTGTCCTTCTAGAAATCCAGACTGCTTTTTCAAGGGCTTAACAGCACATGGGTGTATGCATGTGCACGCCTACATTAAATCTTGCAACAAAATCTTAACACACATTTGGATCTCCAGAGTAGGCAAGCAGTTTAAAAAGGGTGGTAATTTGGAGCAGAGGTAAGTGGAGACAGTTTCAGCTCTATCTTACATAGCTTCTCTCTGGGGCAAACTGCCTACTTAGGAAATAGTTTTTCACACACAAAAAAAAGCAGCTTTGGACTTTATGTACTTCTGCCAAACATGGTTGGAACAGAAGGAAGGAAGAAGCTAAGGTGTGCACACAGTGAAACATGCACACAGCACACATGGGTATTGACAGAGCTACATTCACATAACACATTTCACCTGGTTACCGGATTGAGCTATTTGTGTGTGTGTGTGGATTTGCATGATATATCAACTTCAAATGAATCAAATAGGCTGGGTTTGCATAACAGGCTAAGCTATACAAAAAAATAAAATCCTAACCAAGGTTAAGAGTAACAATAAGCTCAATATATTGTGCAAATGCAATCTTCAACCGACTGGGCAAAACATGTTGTGTGAATGTAGTCAAGACACTGGCTCCAGGGAACAGAGACCAAACATCTGCACAGATCTCTCAGTCTTGCAACTTCCAAGGAAAGACTAAGCACATGCTAAGCACACGCATAGAACCCCCGTGGCCTATTCGCAGAACAACGAAGTGGGGCTCAGAGAATCCAAGTACGCAAGTCCACATAAACCCAAGGCACCACTTGATAGGACAAAGGTTTTTAAAGAGGATCTGTAGAGGTGTATTTGGGGGACAGGGTAGCAGCCCCCACCTTAATGCCAGCTTGTGAGTAGCTGCCAGCTGTTGACAGAAGCTTATGTGCTCAGTGGGGCGTGCAAAGCTTTTTGCAACCACAAAACGTGAAAGGAGAAAGTCAAGGATCCCTCACTTCTCCTCCACTTTGTGGGATGCGCAAGGAGGAGGACGTATTCACAAGGAGTATTTACAAGAACCCAGGCTGCCCCAGACCATCCCTGTGCAAGCCAGGCACAGAACTCATCCCCCCAAGGAAGGAAGCAGGGAGAACCAGCTCCCAGTGGGTTTTTTTTTCTTCAAAAACCAGCTCTTAGCTGGTGAGCTGCGTGCAGCTGGTGGCAGGACTCAGCAAAAGAAGCTTTTCCTCAGCCCAGCTCATACAGAGACATGCAGGCTTGGGGCTGCTTGCCTGCCCCTGCTGTACTCATTCAGACACTTCAACGTGTGCACACAGTCCACTCTCAGCTCGCCGGTGTGTCTCCCAGAAGGCCCGGTCCAATTGCTCCAGCTGTGGACTCAGGGGAAGTTGCATAGCCAAGTGCATGCGGAGAGCTTCCAGCCACTGCTCCAATCGACTGAAGGAAGGCCTGGGGAGAAAAAGCAGAAGGACGTGAGGAGTTTTGCTTGATCGGGCTAAAAGCCCCAAATGGCCTAGAGCAGCAAGCCCACCCTCAACCTTTTGGGCACCAGGGATAAAATACTTTAGATTAGATTAGATGAACAGAGTTGGAAGGGACCTTGTAGGTCGTCTAGTCCAGTGGTCGCCAACCAGTGGGCTGGGGACCACTGGTAGTCCGCGAGAAAATTTTGGTGATCTGCAGAGAAATGTCACCCCAAAGCACCCCCCCAAAACAATTAATCCAGGCTGCGTGGGAACACAAGTCTGTGCCGCCCACATGGCCCACGGGAACACAAGGCTTGCGTCTCTTGCATTGCGCACAACATGAAGTAGTGAGGGGAGGGGGGAAAGGGCGGAGGGGGGGACTTGCCCCACTTGCCCCAAGTGCCTGGCCTGGCTACCGGGCTGCTTCTTTCTGCTTTTTTCTTTCTTCTGCTTTTGGCTGCACACAAGGAAAGCAGCAAAAGTCTTTCTTTCTCTCCCCCAAACTCCACCAGAAATGAGTCTTTGGGACCCTGCAAGGCATCCTGCTCCAAGAGGCTGCGCCAACGCAACAGATCTCACAAAGACTCATTTCTGGTGGAGTTTGGGGGAGAGAAAGAAAGGCTTTTGCTGCTTCTGCTGCTTTCCTTGCATGAAGCCAAAAGTCTCTCTCTCTCTCCCCCTGAGAACGGAGCTGGAGATGGTATCCTGCAATCCCAAATAAAGAATGATCAATAGGTAGAAAAACGGGATGGGGAATTTTTCTGCAGACTTTTTTGGGGATTTTCCCAGGGTCTCTGGTCCACGGGATTTAAAATTATGAGTTTGGTGGTCCCTGAGGTCCAAAAGGTTGGCGACCCCTGGTCTATCCCCCTTCCCAAGCAGGAGGCTCTACACCATTTCTGACAAATGGCAGTCCAATCTCTTCTTGAAAGCCTCTGGTGATGAAGTTCCCACAACTTCCAAAGACAAGAGTTCCATTGGTTGATTGTTCTCACTGTCAGAAAATTTCTCCTTATTTCTAGGTTGAATCTCTCCTTGTTCAGTTTCCATCCATTATTCCTTGTCTGGCCTACAGATGCTTTAGAAAATAGCTTGATCCCTTCCTCTCTGTGGCAGCCCCTCAAATATTGGAAGACTGCTATCATGTCTCCCCTGGTCCTTCTCTTCACTAGACTAGCCATGCCCAGTTCATGTAACTGTTCTTCATATGTTTTTGTCTCCAGTTCCTTAATCATTTTGGTTGTTCTTCTCTGCACTCTTTCTAAAGTCTCAACATCTTTTTTATCATGTGATGAACACTGGATGCAGTACTCTAGGTGTGCTTTTACTAAGGCTTTATTGAGCAGTATTAATTCTTCCCTTGATCTTGATTGTATCCCTCTGTTAATGCAATTTATGATTACGTTGGCTTTTTTGGCTGCCGCCATGCACTGCTAGCTCATATTTAATTGGTTGTCCACTAAGACTCCAAGATCTCTCTCACAGTTACTGCTATTAAGCCTGGTTTCACCCAGTCTATATGCGTATTTTTGGTTTTTCTTGCCTAAGTGTAGGACTTTACTTTTTTCTACATTGAATTTCATTTTGTTAGATACGGCCCAGTGTTCTAGTCTGTCAAGATCCATCTGGATCTTGAACCTATCTTCTTGGATGTTAGCTATTCCTGCCAGCTTAGTATCATCTGCAAATTTGGTAAGTTGCCCTTCTAGTCCCTCATCTAAGTCGTTAATGAAGAATACTTGGCCATGAAGGGTTTTTTTCCCCATGGACCAAGGGAGATGGGGTTTCGCATGTTTTCTGGATCCCACACTTGTGTGGATGGGGCTTCACTTGCTTGTGTAGCCTGCTTCTTACTGTGCTATGAATTGGTGCTAGTCTGCGGCCTGAGGGTTGGGGATCCCTGGCCTAGAGGGCCCAAGACAGTGCCTGAAGTCACCACACCATTTTTCAGCCTTGGCAGGTTGAAGATATATGGACTTCCCAGAATTCCCAGCGTGTGTGTGTTTGTGTGTATGTGTTTCTCCATTTAAAGAGGACAAGAATAATGTTAAACACAGGGGAAATGCTGAATAGGGATCAGGATCTAATAAGAAGGAGAATAGTTTCCTCCAAGTTCTGTACACCAGGGGTCCCCAACCACCGGTCCGCGGAACAAATCCTACCGGGCCGCTGGTTTGCTGGGCGCCGCCATCTTTTTTTGATGAAAAAGTGCTTCCGGTGAGCTTTTCCGGGTAGAAAGCTCACAGGAAGCACTTTTTCATCAAAACAAGATGGCGGCGCCCAGCTGATGCCGGTACCGGGCCGCGGCATAAAAAAGGTTGGGGACCACTGCTGTACACTAATCCTTTCTCAGCCTCAACAACTTTAAGATAGGGGACTTCTACTTGCTGGCTGGGGAATTCTGGTAGTTGAAGTCCTCACATTTTCATGTTGCTAAGGTTGAAAGCATTGCTCCATCATTATGTAGACCCACAGACAGTAAAGGTTGGAAGCAACCTTGACTCTCATCTAGTGAGATTGATGGTCAGTTGCAAAAGAAAAATACAAAACTAGATGTGGGAGCAGAAAAAAACAGTTGAACTTCTCAGTCTGAATTTACTGGAAGGCTGGAAAAGCCTTAACTTAATGTTTCTCAGTCTTGGCAACTTGAAGATATGTGGACTTTTAGCTCCCAGAATTCCCCAGGTAGCATGCTGGGAATTCTGGGAGTTGAAGTTCGCACACATTCAAAGCTGCCAAGATTGAGAAGCACTGTCTTAATTCGTCCTTCCGGGCTGCCCCACCTGCCCTGAGGAAGACTCATCCCTTTCTCCAAGCCACATATCCTCGCATCCCCATATCTAGGGGCTCCCAACTCTCTCATGTCACACATCTGTTTCCACTTGCTGACCGTTTCTCAGGATCCAAATCACAGCAACAAACAGCGATAGGAAAGAAGCTAGGAGGACAACTGGGAGGACAGTAGCGGTCCAGGAAGCCTCGCACATTGAGGCCAAAATCCAAGGTTCGAGGCAGGTAATCAGGGTCAGCGCTGACTCTTCCAATAATCTGCAAAATAAAAAAGGAGTTGTTAGAAGTTTCTCTGGACTGATCTAGAGGCTTGGTTAACAATCTAGAACAAGTCTTCAAAGATGGCCCTTTGGAGATAAACTGAGCCACATAGAAGAGCTAAGTAGAATACTGGCTGGCCCATGCCAGATGCTTCAAGGGCTTTTCAAAAGTCCATATATAGCATTTAATTTATATATTTATATATGAGCCTCGGTGGCGCAGTGACTAGAGTGTAGTACTGCAAGCTACTTCTGCTGCAGCCAGCTGCCTGCAGTTTGGCAGATCGAATCCCACCAGGCTCAAGGTTGACTCAGCCTTCCATCCTTCCGAGGTGGGTAAAATGAGGACCCAGATTGTTGGGGGCAATAGGCTGACTCTGTAAACCGCTTTGAGAGGGCTGGAAAGCACTATAAAGCAATATATAAGTCTAAGTGCTATTGCTATTTGTATATTTCAATATCTCTGATAGAAATATGCCTGAGTAAATCTTACAATAATGCTAACTTTATGAGGTTAACATTATCATTCTCACATTACATGGAGGAAACTAGGGGGGGGGAGTTTAAGGGTTGTCCTCAACTTACAACAGTTCACTTAGTGACTGTTCAAAGTTACGAGACTGAAAAAAGTGACTTATGATCAATTTTCACACTTACGACTGTTGCAGCATCTCCTTAGTCATGTGATAAAAATTCAGACACTGATTCATGACAGTTGTAGTGTCCCAAGATTGTGTAGTCACCTTTTGTGACTTTCTTAGAAGAGGAAACCAGATTCACCTTGCAACTGTGTAAATAACTTAATAATGGTGTTATTGACTTAATAACTGCAGTGATTCACTTAACAACTGTGGCAAGAAAAGTCGTAAAATGGGGCAAATTCACTTAACCAATGTTTCACTCAGCAACAGAAATGTTGGGCTCAATTATGGTTGTAAGTTGAGGACTACCTGTATATGCCTGAAATAGCTTGGTGAGAAATCCCAAACAGATGAATCAATCTATATCTATCTATCTATCTATCTATCTATCTATCTATCTATCTATCCATCCATCCATCCATCCATCATCCATCCATCCATCCATCCACCCACCCACCCACTACCTACCTACCTGAATTTTCCCAGCCCTAGACCAATACTTTAGCCCCTACTAAAGCAGGCAAAACATCCAGATGACCCTTAGGTGGCAGTTCTAAAATGTTCTTAAATGTTCTGCATCTCTCTGCTGCCATCTAGTGATTGTCTAAATCAGCGTTTCCCCAACTTAGCCACTTTAAAATGTGTGGTTTTCAACTCCCAGGGGAATTCTGGGAATTGTAAGGCCACACACATCTTGAAGTATCTAAGGATGAGAAACACTGGTCTGGATTCTTACAGCTCAGATGTGGTAGCCCTGATCCATATACCACACCAGGTCCTGATCATAAGCAAGACTCTCCTATTTTTTTTTTCTCTATTGAGAACCACATCACTTTTGGTGTAATCTACCAGAGTTGCATGCAGATGCATTCAAAATTCAAAACAAGAGAATCATCCCTTTCCCCTCTTTTTTGGCATTCCATTTTTTTGCTCTTGCTTCTCAAAATGAGGTTTTGAGTTCAACAACTCTTCCTTCAAAGGATGTAAGAACAAGGATAGCAAATGCTGGCTTCAGGCGTCTGCCAGAACCGCTCTCTGGAAATGTTCCTCTAGACTTCTCTAGCAACCTTTCCTTCCTCCTTGAATGCTTTATGTTGCTGGGACTTGCCTCACAAAGGATGATGCCAAAAGAGAAGATGTCCACTTTCTCATCATAACTTCTCCCTGCAAAAAGATGACAAAAGACGAAAAAACATATTTAGCTATCAGGCCCAGACGTCCTAGCCAAGGGTTTACTATTGTTTGGAGTTGGTGAGTTCATCTAGAATGTGTAAAACAGCTCATGGGTGCTCCTACAAAATGGCTTCCTTAAGGATCCATGAGCTCTCATGATAATCCGTCCCAAAGTAGTTGTAAGTGAAATTGCCCCTTTCTTTTGCTGCCCATTTTATCTTAGTTTCAATGTGCCCAGAAACAAATATCTCCTTTTCCTCAAGGTTATTCCTTCTGTGCATTATATAGAGGTGGCTTCCTTGGCAGCTTCTCAAACATGATCCTTGTTTCCCTTCTTGCTGACCACAATTAAGCCAGACCTGGTGAGGCTCTATCCCAAGAGTGAGGAATGATGGCCCTTTTATGACTTTTATGACAAGTCATAAAGGGGCCATCGTTCCCCATCTCTGGTCTATCCCAACCCCCAACTCTCCTGCTCAACTCACCATTGATCATCTCGGGAGCCATCCAGTAAGGGTTGCCCACCACAGTGTACCGTTTCCTTCGGTCAGGTTTCTTCAGGGTTGCTAGCTGGTTTTTCTCATCCACCATCAGCCGAGCAAGGCCAAAATCGGCCACTACCACACTTTTGTTCTAGGTAAAGGAAGAGAAAAAAATCTTTTCCTCCCTTTCTTTTAATTATCCAGTGGATTTAGCACTTTCAGTTTACAATGCTTTAATGTTGTTGGCAGACAAGACAGTGTTTAAGAAAAGAGGAAATACCATTTTTGTTGCTCTCAGTGTCAGCTTCCAACGATGTGGCTTGTTTTTTTTTTTAAGCAAAACGAATATCAGCTGAACCTGATTATTTTAAACATTATTTATGTTATAGAATGTTATTTTGAAATGAACATATTTTATATTCAATTTATCTACTGTTATTATTACATTTGAAGTGTTACTACAGTTTTTAAATTAGCTTTATTTTTTTCATGGATTGAGGGGGTTTAATTCAACTGAAAAAGACAAAGTTCTTGTTATCCTTGTTACAGAATGTTAACGTTTACTGATTATGTGATAAACTATTATCAGATATTGGAGAGTTCCAGGGTTGGGCTTAGCGTTTCTAATAAATATATATCTCCAGCATTTCCACTGGTGAAATAGGTAGTAGAATATCTACAGGCTTTGGAATATCTACAGAAGTGTCCATGTTGGTAGATTTCAGTATATTTTATCTATTTTAAATTTTCATCCTGTCAAAATAGAAAATGGTTTTGTGGGGAACTTCCGGTTTGAGCTTCTTCGGTGACAGACCGAAACCTCGTCTCTGCGAGGTTTCAATCCGTGCTCGCCGCTGGAACCCCCCGAGCTGGCTGGTTTCGGGGCTAAGCCACCCCGTAGAGGTGGTGAAGAAGGGGGAGACTGCCTGCAGGGTTGAGGAGAGCCGCACCTCTCCTCTCCAGCTGGCCATTATTCTCTTTCCCGAAGGCGGTTGTAGCAGTAGTCAGAAATGGCCACCACAAAGAAGAACTCGACCGGAAAAGAATGTGCAGGAGGAAGATAAGAAGAGAAAGTTTTGGTTGACTGGGTCAAACAGCAAAAGCAACAAATAAGGTACCCTGGAATTGAAACTATTAAAAAAAAAACAATAACATTGTTCCCTAAGAAGATTTTTAAGCTGCGAAGGACAGAGAAAAGGGAAAAGATTTGGGTTTTTTTTTTCTCCTTTTCCTATACTGACAGCTAAGAGACTTAAGCAAGAAATTGGAAAAAAATCTACTTTGACATTAATAGGCATTTAATGCTGAAAATAAAAAGTCAAAGGGATAATAAAGATTTCTGGATAATCAAAAGCTTTTGAAAACAGGAAAGGACAGAAAAAGAATAAAAGGGCAGGATCTGGAAGGGAGGAGACTGCCTGGAATTAAAAAGAATTTACAGCAAAATCTCAACAAGACTTCCAAAATATACATTTTAACTGAAACATCACAACAAAATAGTAAAACCCCAGGAAGAGAAAGTGGAAAAAGAAATAAGAAGAAACAGCCTGGGACTATTTGGATTACTTGGTGATCTCTGGATTTTTGGTTATTGTATTTGAATGACTAAAATCAATCGGGTGGTTGTTTAAAACTATTTAAAATGGCTCCACTTTTAGAAGAACTGAAAATGTACTTAAAAAGTACAAAGAAGATGCACAAGAAGGAAGAGGTTCTTTTGGCTTTGTATTTCACTTCTTAGAAATGGAGATTTGGAACTATGAGAAACAACAAGAAATGCCTGCAGAACAAGAAGATTGTGACAAAGAAGAAGCCATCTTTAATGAACAAGTAATCTTAGATGGGGGGGAAAAAGGAAAGGGGGGAAAGAGAATGGAAAGTTTAAGATTGGGAGAAACAACCCAAAAAAAGAATAGAGTGAAAAATAAGTATAAAATCAGAAAGCAACAGAAGAGGGAAATGCAGAAGAAAGAATTAGAAGTAGAGAGACAAGGGGGTAAAAAGGGGAGGGAGAAGATGAGAGGGAAGAGAGAAAGGAAAAGAAGTTATAAAGGACAGAAACAAAATATAGAGAAACGGCCTATTTAGAGATAATGGGTGAAAATTTAATGGAAAAAGGGATTCTGCAAAGGTACATAAGATAGTATTGTTATATTAGAAATAGAAATAATTTTAGAAAATATGAAACAATGTATGATTAAAATGTTTGATAAAATTGCTATCGTAATTCAGTGGAATGCTTGTCAGTAAATAAATGTAACAAAATGAATATTTAATGATTTATAAAACATATGTGAAGAAAAATAAGGGAAAAATTAATTATGGAGATTATATGTGTCTTTAAGGAAGTATGATATTTAATTGAAAAGAAATGTTAAAGATGTTAAGATTTTAATGATTATTAATGATAGAACTGAATTGGAATGGAATGAGGGTTTATAATTATATATATTTATAATCCTTTTTTTAAAAGAATATAGTGTGTATTATAAGAATGTACCAAGCAGAATTCGATTGGAAGTTATGTATTATGTATTATATTGAAGGTCATAACCTTAAGGGTATATATTGAAGTTTAAATAAGAGTTTAATGGATATAATTAAAAGATAGAAAGGTGTCATACTCCAATTAGTAACTACAGGAGAAAATTCATTTAATGAGAAAAGATAATATGAAATTGAAACAGAACAGACAAAAGTATAAATATAATGATTTGAATTGAGATGAGATAATCAAAATAAAATTGAGAAAATTAAAAGAGGGAAAAAACTATATAGAAAATGTAGAATAGTATAAGATATGGAATAGAACACAAAAAGGAGCATGAAATTGAGTTTTGTGTCTGTATAAAGAAGTTCAACCCGGGACCATGCTATTTTCAAAAAAGACGTTTTACTTGTATTTTGTATGTGTGAAAACCCAAATAAAACTTTATTTAAAAAAAGAAAATGGTTTTGTGGGATAATAGCTGTAACGCTAAAAATATCCTTTTCGTGTACATAAAAATCAAGGAAGTATTGTCACTTGCTATATCTGATATTTTCACATGGGTTTTTGTTGTTGTTGCATACATACCAATCACACTATTTCCTTTTGGAGTAAGCAAAATTGTGCAAAGCTCAGAAAAGGAGCAGCATATAGTAAGCCAAAAATAATTTCAAGAATGAGATGAGAAAAAGAGAGGGAAATAAGTCTAATTTACACTTTCTGCAACCACAACTCTGTCTCTGCCTTTTTGATCCTTTTGACTCCTCCACTCATCCTCTACTGTTTTCATTTTGCCATTCAATCATTGTTCATTTTTCCTGTATTAAACCATCTCAATAAATTCCTTTGCCATTGAAATTCACTGTTGCATTCAATCCATATGCATTCAGAACCCATTTATTTTTGTTTTATTGGTTCTCTACTCTTACTGTTTTCAACTTTTCTCCTTACATATTTCCACATAACAAAATGAGGAGAAAGTTATTTTCACTTCTTTTTTCCCCCAAACATTTCTTGAAACAGGCTTCTGTTTCTGTCATTACTTTCTAGTTTGTAGTGGCTCACTTTCTTTAGATCAGTATTGAACATTTAAAAATTTCTCCATTCATTGTTTGTTAACAGAAAAGACTGAAATCAGGTTATTATTTATCAGAAACACTAGTCCCTGAGAATCTGAAGCCAAACAAAGCAAAATGACATCTAGAAATGTCATGAAAAACCCAGTAAGTTTTAACTCTTGCTTTGTTTGATAATGTAATTATAATGTAATTATTAAAATACATGGCATGTATTTTGCCTAATTTCTACCCCAAAGAATTTTTTTAAAATTTTACTTATGAGATAGGAGTTGCACAATTATTGTTTTAGGAGGCTGAAAGTATTGTAAAATTTAAGAATCCTGATATGAAATGAGGCGATACAAGTGTCAAATCCTGGGGAAATTAGGAGATTCAGGCAATTCAAATGAGTATAAAGTTTTATTGCAACTTTAAGCTCTCTACAAAAATCTGAGCTACCAATCGTCAAGGGAAATGAGTAGGAATTAAGGAGGCATTCAAGGTGGGCTGGACTTAGATCTGTTGCGGGCATGCAGGGACTCATCACTTATGATACATTTGACCCCTCCCTTGGGCTCAGCCCCCTCAGGTTCAGCCTGGTCATTTCCTACAACAAGGGAAAGCAATATTCTAAATAGGTATTCTCCCAAAAGCTGATCATTGAATTACTGTAATACATTTTCTAAATCTGTAGAATACAATTGAAGTATAAACTAACCAACCAGCTGGATTTACAGAACATATTAAGCCTCCAGACTATAATAACAAAGCTAACCACAATTGGATCTCATTAAGTTTAGCATGTGATACACATAAAGTCACTAAAATTTTAAATGATCTAGTAGTATGTGTACATCCTATACATATTTAACCATTTTATTTAGCCTTGAGAAAAGCCGAATCAGGGGTGATGCAACAATATTGAATGGATATCACACTCAAAGTATAGAGATGTTCTTAATCATTCCAGAGTGCAGAAAGTAGAATGATGGGGCAAATTGTCATTTAAAGTTACAAATTTTGTTTTAAATTATTAAGAGCAAATTTGATAGTGGAAACATTAATGAACTAGCAGTGGATTCTTCTTTATTGAATGTGTTCAAGCAAAATTGGGCAGCCAAGTATCTGAAACACTTTAATTTGGATTCCAGCAGTGGACAGGGATTTAGGCTGAATAGGGTTGAATAGCCTAACAAATTTAACCCAAGTCTAAATTGGGGTTTCTCAACTTTGGCACTAGCTGGGGAATTCTGGTAGTTGAAATTCATACATCTTAAAGTTGCCAAAGTTGAAAAATTAGAATTAGAATAACAGAGTTGGAAGGGACCTTGGAGGTCTTTTAGTCCAACCTCCTGCTTAGGCAAGAAACCCTACACCAGACAAATGGTTATCTAATCTCGTCTTTCAAACTTCCAGTGTTGGAGCATTTACAACTTCTGGTGGCAAGTTGTTCCACTGATTAATTGCTCTAATTGTCAGGAAATTTCTCCTTAGATCTAAGTTGCTTCTCTCCTTGATTAGTTTCCACTCATTGCTTCTTGTCTTACCCTCGGGTGCTTTGGAGAATAGTTTGAATCCCTCTTCTTTGTGGCAGCCCCTGAGATATTGGAACACTGCTATCAAAAACAATAGCTTAAATGGTTTCTTCCAACTCTATGATCCTGTAATTTTATATACAATTCCCTCTTTCAGCTTTCAGGAAGGTAAACAACAAATCAGTCTTGGATTAACTTCTGCCTGCCCCTGAGAAATCTACCTGTTAATTTGTTAAAAGTGTAGGAGACAATAGAGGGAACAAACCTGAACTTGGCTACTAGTTCCAAGTTCTCACTTTCTATTCACACAGTAATCTGAAACAAAGCAGAGATTTGGAACAAAATACAATCTGAAAACAGAGCCAGGTTTCTATGATCCTGCATCCTAAAATGTTATATATTTTCACAAATCAGAGATAATTCAAGACCTATAATAATCCTCTTCTTCATTTGTTGTTTTTAGGAAGATGTTCTTAAAAAGTAAGGAAACTCTTCATAACTTACCTTCTCAAAATGTGATCAGCAACATTTTCTCCTTGCTTTTAAAATTGTTTTTAGCTTTTAAAAACCAACAAACGTAGAAAACCAAATAATGCAAATAAAACTTAAATTAATGAATGAATTAAAAAATTGACCAGTGTCAGCTTACTTCTCGCACAAGGCAGTTGTGTGTATTGAGGTCCCTGTGAATGATATTCATAGAATGGAGATAAGCCTGTAAAAAGAAATGAGAACAGAAGAGTTAGAAATGCTATTTTTCCATAACTCCTTTCTTTTTTCAATGGATATGGTTGACTTCACTTCATACAACACTGCTAGATGCTCTTTTACAGGAGGCTGAGTTGTTATTTTTGAAATGAAACTTGACCCATCATGTAGCCTACAGGTAGTCCTTGAGTTATGACTGGTCACTTAGCAACCGTTCAAAGTTACAATAGATTTACTGTACCTTAGGGCTACTTATGACTCAGATTTGAAATTCCAATAATCACATGACCAAACTTCAGAACCTTGGCAACATGGCCATATTAACGGCCATTTGCAGCATCCCACTGACATGTGATTATGTTTTACTACAGTTTTGCCGAAAACTGGCACTTCCAGTTTTTGACAAAACTGCACTCATAGTCAACCATTGGTTTGCTTACCGATGTTAAGCGGCATTCGCTTAACAACTTCAGGTTCATTTAATGACCAATGCAAAAAAGTTTGTAAAATTAAATTGGTCAATGACCGACCTATTTATATTGTGAGTGTATTTTTTATTTTAACCAAACCTATTTCACCCACCTTTATTCATAAGCAGGTAAAAATGAACCCAACTAAATCAGATTCAAAAAGTCCACACAATCTAGCACTGTGCTCACAAGACTGGTCAGTAAGTTATTCTGGAAAGCTCACAAGTAACATGCTGTGTTATTTTTTACCAAGGCTAAGTTGCCTCAAGTTATGGAGGCTTCATTTGGTGAGCAACCCTCCTGGATTGCTCACATACTTCTACAAGCTAGTGAATAAGACAGAAAGGAAATTTTAAAACGATTCCTGCAAGGTGCTTTCCTGATGCCCCACAGAATTACTGGATCACTCTGCTGCCAATTCATGCTCACACTCACCATCCCTGAAGCGATGTCTTTTGCAAAACTGACCCGCTGGCTCCAAGGATACTGACTATCCTGGAAGAAAAATGTTGCTAGTGAGTGAAATATTTGGAAAAGTTGGGGTGAAGCCTATCTGGAGCATCTCACTTCTATCAGGGTGTGGAAAGAGTAGCAGGAAAAAGACTTTCCATCCTTTTCATGACTATGTTTTACAAAACACACTTTGCTGGTTATTGAATTAATCATGTTTGCACAATACTCTAAATCAAAAACATAACAGAGTTATTCTGTCTTTTGATTCACCTGCTGAATATAAAGACAGAATAACTCTACAAATTCTTCCATACAAAGTTTCTTTTATTGGATTATATTAGATATCCTCAAGGTGACTCACAGTTATGTCGAGATGCATCTAATGTCCAATTCTTTGCATAGTTGAAATTGTAATGTAAAATGATAGTAATCTTTCTATTCCATATTTCATCCCATAGTAGTAGATGCAGGGGGTAGAGATGCTACCATGAGGCTGTGTTCAGGCAAGAGTGAAGAAACCTCCCCCAACCCACCAAGGGTAAATTCAGTGACCAATCAGGTTACAGATGTGGCCACATGACATGGACTACATTTCCCAGGACACCTTAACTACATTTACCATGATGCATTCCCTTAAGGGGACAGCTCTCAAATCCCAACTACCTATCCCAAACCCCATTAACTCTAAACTGTCTGGATAGCACAAGAATATTATCAGCTAAGCTTAGTAGATTGTACACATGCAATTGTGAGATCTTCATTGATAACTAAGAGCATTCAGTTCAGGTTCAGACCAGGGGAATAATATGATGACAATATTGGTCATGCTTGATGATGACTTCTGGGAGAACTAGGAGAGAGATAGTACAACCATCCCAATTCTACCTGATCCCTCAGTGGAAGAGTAGTTCTCTTCCTTTTTATGCAGATGGGTCCAGTTGGTCTTAACAGTGGAGAAGGAACAGGCTTAGGCCTAAACCTGACAAGACCGTGTGGGATTTCCTGATTGTGGAGTGCTTCAATCTTTGATCCTGAATAGGATTGCATTTCTCTTTGGGTTTGGTGGGCAACTTAATACTCTCTGGAATTCATAGTCTGTGCTCAACCAGCAGTGTTTTAACATGTAGCGTCAATTACGCCATGACGCTAAGTCAGTTTGTTTGGCCACAACATGCTACATGAACACAGCTATTGTGTTTTATTAACCCTGGGTTACTGTGTTGTGTGAACCCAGCCAGACTGTCTCTGTCTCTTCTGCTCTCCCTTCTCCTGTTCAGATGCTCAATATTCTCACATTAGATCTGATGTAGGTTCTATGTGCTCACCATGCTCTTAATGATCCCACGAAGGGTGCCTCCCTTGATGTACTCTGTGATGAAGTTCAGCCTCTTGTCTTTGTAGAGGACTCCAATAAACCTCAGCACATTGGGATGTTCCAGGCAGCGCATTACCTTCACCTAAGGAACAAAACCACAAGACAGTTAATCCTGCATTCCTCAAAACCTCTTGACAGGAAACTACGGGGCATACAACATCAGGAAAAATGCGTCAATTTTGTAAAACATTGGACTATTACCTGCTTGTCTGTAAGCCCTGTAGCAACTACCTAAACTTTGGGGACATCACAAAATGAAAGATTTTGGCAAATATTGTGGAGGAACAGCTTGTCAAAGAATGCTATAGAACAGTATATGCTCCGTATGAAACTTAAATCAGAAATCCTTGCTTACAGTGTCAAAATACTAGAGATCACCATACACATTTAAAGAAGAGGGACAAAGATTTAAATTACCGTATTTGCCGGCGTATAAGACGACTTTTTTGCCCTGAAAAACATTCCTCCAAGTGGGGGGGTCGTCTTATACGCCGGGAGGACTCCGACTCCCACTTTGAGCTTGAGTTGCAGCCGGGAGGGAGGCTGGGGGGGGGAGCGGTGTGTGTGTGTTTGTGTGTGTGTGTGTGTGTGTGTGTGTGTGGCGGGTGTCACTCGCCACGCGCTGCGCAACCTTTCCCCCTCTTCCTTCCTTAGCGGTGTGGGGAGGAGAGGATTCGAAGATCCTCACGTGCGGCGTACTTTTTCTTTTTTTCTTTTTGCACGCAGGTTTTGCATGCGGGCGGCTGTAGGTTAAGGATGGGGGAGCCCCCGGGTGGGTTATCAGGTTTTACGGTGCTTCCAACATGTGCGAACGGTGGGAGAGCGGAGAAGAGAGCGAGCGAGCGCCCTGCTGTGTGAAATCCTGCCGTCAAAGCAACACTGGGGGAGGCAGGGTATAAATTTACCAGGTTAATGTAGCAATGGTGATTAATGCCCAGAACATTGTTTGCGGGTATTGGTGTGTGTGTGTGTGTGTGGTGGTGGTGGTGAGGAGAGGTTGTCCTTTGAATGCGGAAAAGTAGGTGTGACCTTGTGTAGGAAAATAAAGAGATCCTTTTTAGCGTGTTTGGCTTCTTTGCCTCCCCTCGTTCATTTTGATGTGGAGATAATGGCCTTCGGGCGGGAGGGGAAGAAAACTGTAGCTGGATCATTTCAAATTTCACTTACTCTCCTGCCTCACTTCAATATGTCTGAGCGACTCCAGATACTGGAAGACTTTTTGAATGAAAGTGTTACCTCCATATATTTTTTTAAAGAGGGCCACTTGGGGAAAAAAAAAGATTCTAAGGAATTCCTTGTTTCTTGATTAAAGAGAAGGCATTGAATATACTGTTCCTTGGCAGCCTTTTCAGTGTCCGGGTTTTTGGTGTGTGTGTGTGTGTGTGTGTGTGTGTGTAAGTGTGTGTGTGTGAGAGAGAGAGAGAGAGAGAGATCAGCTGTATTGAGAAGAGAACGTTTCCTGTGTTCTCATTTTATTTACAACATATTTTACGCTTAATGGTAAGCAATGAAAAATATTTTTAAAACTCATTTCTAAACTCCATAGCTATTGGCATATTCTTGGTTCAAAATTGGATTAGCTCATTTCAAAATTGTCCAAAGCAGAAAAGTGCGTCAAAAAAAAAAAAGTGCAAAAGTGGAAGGTGTGTGGAAGAGGGGGTAGTCTTATACGGCGAGTATATAACAAACTCTATATTTTGAGTGGAAATGTTGGGGGGTCGTCTTATACGCCCAGTCGTCTTATACGCCGGCAAATACGGTAGGTAACATTTGATGTGGGGAGTAAAAAAACCAAAAACTTAAATGATACTAATAAGAAATCAACAGAAAGGAAACTTCTCTAGCCAGTGGACTAAGCTGGAGCAACCAACCTCTTTAAGAAATGTTCTTTGGGTCTCCTCATCAAAACGGATAAGTTCCTTCATGACCATCACTTCTCCAGTCTCCCGATGGGTCACCTGATGAAGAAAGCAGATGGCATTTAGGACTTTATTACAGGAGGAAACATTTAGAATCGTACAGTTACAAGGGATCTTAAGGGTCACTGTAATGGACTGTAAAAATAATCTTGAGAGACAGGAAGAAGAGCCGCAATCGTCTGGTAAACGAAATACAAGTCCAACACAGAATATAATTTGAAGTGTCACAGAATTGACTCGCCCTAATGCTCTCTAAGATAAAGGCAGGGAGGAGAGGCACACTGAGGATTACCTTAGTACAGGGGTCTCCAACCTTGGCAACTTTAAGCTTTGCTGGCTGAGGAATTCACAAGTCCACAAGTCTTAAAGTTGCCAACGTTGGAGACCCCTGTCTTAGAAGACACTAGTTTTTAATGTATGCATAGATCAATTTTCATTTTCAATTTTCTAGGATAAGCTAAAATAATGCAATTATGTTCATGTATCTGCTAGTCCAATCTCCTCCTCAGTCAGACTTTTAGAGACTGAGTCACTGAACAATGACGGTGCAACATAGAAATTCCAACAACAGGCTGGCGAGATCAAGCCATAATCTAGATCCAGCTGGTAGAAAGGGCACAAAATACCATGCCTGTATCTTCTCAAATGTTATTGTTTTATTGTTTTTAAAATAGTGACAAAAAGAAAAACACAAAATTAAAAATGCAAACATAATTAAAAAAAACATAACGGGGATTTTTTTTTTAAAAAAAAGTGAGATAAAATACAGCAAAAATAATATGTATACCATTTTAACAGTAAATTGTGATAATTTTATAGAGGTACCCTTCAACTTACAACCATTCATTTAGTGAGCATTAAAAGTTACAACAGCAATGGAAAAACGTTATTTATGACCTGTCCTCATACTTACAACTGTGGTAGCATCCCACATAAATCATGGACTACCAGTATATAAAGTAGTTATCTAATGTAACTAACTATTAAGGAAATCAATCCTGACTGCTCTTTGGAAGGACACATACTGAAGCTGAACTCAAATACTCATTGGAAAAGATCCTGATGTTTGGTAAGATTGAAGGCCAAAGGAGAAAAGGACACCAGAGGATGAGATGGTTAGATAGTGTCATTGATGCAATGAACATCAATTTATGCAAACTCTGGGAGATGATTCCTGGCACCAGTTTTGGGGGTTCAAATAATTTAACAACCGGTTTGCCCAGGGTCAGGTTGGCTGTCATGGGAGGCGTGGACCATCCCCATCCTCCAGCTCAGCCCTATATGTGGGACGAGCCTCCCGCGATGGCCAACCTGACCCTGGGCGAATCGGTTATTAAATTACCCCCCCAGGCTATCAAAGTGGATCGTGGGCACTGCGCTGCAATGGAGAAACGGGCAATGAAGTTGCCGGCAGAAGGGAAGGAGGAGGAGCAGGGAGAAGAAAGAGAGAAAGCTGCCTCCTCCTTCCCTCTCGCTGGCTGCTCTATTGCCCGTTTCTCCATTGCAGCGCAGCACCTAGGATCCAATTGAACAACTGGTTTGCTTGAACCAGTGTGAACTGGCTGAATACCACCATGCCAAACTGTGGTCCATGGGGTTGCAAAGAGTTGGAAACGACTTAACAAATAAGTGCAATACATACAGTATATATAATTATCTTTTCAAAATTATTGTATTTGGTGTAAATGTGTTTCATATTTCATTACATATATCTATCAATCTGCTCATAGGTGGCAAGTGCAATCAGCCCTCAATCCATTGAGTAAATGGGGTTATATGTTTCTCTTCCCAGTGCCAGAATATCAGTCTTTTGGGCACAGTAGGGACACAGAGAATGCATTTACACTGTCCAGTTGCCACATTCCAAGTGCTTGGTATGTAATATAAAAAAATATCATTGTCTAAAAATTTTAGCTTTTGTTACACAATCGTATTTATACAGTCTACTACTTTTCCCCAAAACTTTGTAAGTAAATGGCATTGTACAAAATGTATCCTTAATACATCCTCAGCGAAATGCTGTCCTGGTACCATGCCTGTACCTTAATGGCTTGCCCGAAGCAGCCCTTGCCCAACACCTCGCCATGAATGAGATCCGAAGGGCGGAAGATGCGATGAAGACGGGAGACAACACGTAGTGATTCTGAGCGACCAATATCTTTCCTTTGGGAGGACGGGGAGCCCAGAGAGCTGGAACAAGGTGACTTATCAATGCTACAGCTCCTCCTGTGCAGAAGAAGAGAAATGTTCTTCTCAGGTGTACATCAGGCATGCTCTTCTCACAAAAGACCAATTTCCAGGTGCCCCAGATCAATATTTCTTGGTTCAGGGAGAAACTGGAAGACTTTCATCTTGAACAACTTCCAGCTTAATTAGGACAACTTGCAATTTACCCTCACCTTCTTTGGATTGGTAAAACATTACAAAATGGCCATTTTCACAGGAGTAGAACCTGCGCCCCTGTTCAGTTGTTTTGCTGTTGTTGTTCAGGAACCTTATTCCTGATGTTCTGCTGCTCAATGAGTTTCAACAAGGCACACGCCTCTTGGGCTCACAGTCTCCCCCATTTCCTCCAGCATGGAATCACCTTATCTAAAGAAACCAGTTTGCTGCATAGTCTGAATCATAATAAATTGCAGGATCCCATCTGGGTTGGTCACCAGGACCAGAAGTTTAGTCTTCTGAGCTTTCAGATTCATGCTGGAGCCCATCCTCAGGGAACTTCTCTCTCACCTGGAATGTGTGAGAGAGAATGTGTATCTCACATTCTGGAGAGAGAGAAGTGCCCTGAGGTTGGGCTCCAGCATGAATCCGAAAGCTCGGAAGACTAAACCTCTGGTCTGGCTGACTGACCCAGATTGGATCCTGCAACATTATCCTGGGACACGTATATTCGCCTTCATTCGCATAACAAACTGGTTATGAACAAGACAAACTGGTTACCACCAGCAATAAGTCCTAGAAACAAGCCAGTTGACTTCTTTTCAATTACCAGAATTAAATTTGGATCAATTGATTAGCTAGAATTATTTCAAGATAAACACTTCTACCACACATGTTTAACAGAGGCTTAAGGGAGTCTCCTGGATCCAACAGTCAGTTGGGAGGCAGAGACAGAATGGCAATGCTTCTACGCCAGGCATGGGGCAGTATTAATGGAATATGTTGCAATAAAAGTAAAAAATAAATTGCAAGTTTGAAAAAAAAAAAACCTCCAACATTTTGATAGTTACAAATGTCCCTCTCCTTGCCTTAAGGGGAACACTGGTTACAACTGCACACCATAGTGACCACATTTGATAAAGCGACAGAACTGTTGACATCAATGGAGTCCTTGATGGTCTTTGAGCTTGGTTGTTTGGTTGCAGCCATATCATTACCCAACTAGGAAACAAGTCTAGCGACATGACTTATTGACTCAATTCAAACCTGAGCTTATATATTCTCTTCTATTCTTGAGATCTACTGACCTCTGCTAGGATATAACTAATTCACAAACTTAAAATATCTTTACTAAAGTTTCTTTTTTCTCAAAACATCTTTACTCAAGAAACCTAGAAAATGCAAGCACGCAAAGGAGCCCACAAGGAGGAATCTGATATACTTTGGAAAAACATATTTCCTTGGGTGTGTTGCTCACAAACAGATGGAATTGTAAATTATTAAGCAGAGAGGGACAGTGTATGAATAATACACTTAGCCAGCTCCCTTAGCAGTTGTATCAGAAACATGTTAAATTCAGTTAAACTTTGTGTGGGGGGGAGAGTTTGTGGCATAAAGTGTTATACACCCCCAGTCCATTTAATTCGTTTCAGTCTGGTGTCTTGCATTAGTCTAGGAAATAAGTTAATTTAGTAAATATATAAAGGGCAATGTGTGCATAAAAACAACATGAGACTGGAAAATAGAAATGGAAGTTGGACAAGAAGGCACCATCATTGGATTTGCCAAGGATTATGCTCAGAGTGGCTCCTTTTCTGCCTGTTTCTACATTTATAATTTCAAGGCAGCCTTCCTCGAACCTGATACCTTGTAGGCTGCCAACCTGGCTGGGGATTTTGTGAACTCCAAGTGCCTTCCCAACACAATCTTCAGGGCACTAGGCTAGGGAAGAGCGCACTAACTATTTTCTAGTTGCATTTCTATAGCACAGTGATGGCAAACCTTTTTGTTGTGGTGTGCCGAAAGCTTGCATGTGTGCGTACCAGCACCCATAATGCAATGCGCCCCGCCCCCCTATGCATGCACATGCAACACTCCCGCCCCGTCCCCTTACCTGCACTGCACATGCGTGTGCCCCCCCCAGCTGATTTTCGGCCTGTTTGAGGCTGTTTTCGCCCTCCCAGAGGCTCGAGGGAAGCCTCTGCAGCCTTAGGCTGAAAAACGGGCCTTCCAGAAATACCCATGCCTGTTTTCAGCCTCCGGGGTGCCTCTGGAGCCCAGGAGAGGCCGTTTCGCCCTCCCAGAGGCTCGAGGGAAGCCTCTGCAGCCTCAGGAGGCTGAAAACAGGCCTGTTTAGGCACTTCCGGTATTTTCCAGATTCTCGAGGCTTCAGTGCCTTCCCTTGAGCCTCCGGGAGGGTGAAAATGGCCTCAGATGGGCCAAAAATCATCTGGGAAGCATGTGCATGCGCATTAAGTTTGGCTGGGGTTTGCGTGCCCGCACAAATGGCTCTGCGTGCCACCTGTGGCACGCATGCCATAGATTCGCCATCATGACTATAGCATGAGAGCAAAAACTTTTCTCTGTAGGAGGGAGAGGGGAATCTACTTCAGAGAGCCATCTTCTACTCAATCCTTACATGACAGAGCGCTGGCGAATGGCTGAAGGGTCTGGGCAAGGTGTGTGGCTGGGCGAATGCAGGGGACTGCGCAGCTCTGAGAGAGGGCTGCTTTCAATGATATCATGAGGGTCGTGTTCAATGGTCAGCTGCAACAGGCGACTGGTCTCTTGGATTAGAAGATCGATCTGTAGAGACAGAGAAGGCAGGCTATAGGAGAGAGGCAATACATCCTGAGAGGCACGGGCCCTCATTGTGGAAACAAAAACGAGAAGCGGATGATTGAGTCAGTACTAGAGGTGGTATTCAGCAGGTTCTGACCAGTTCTGGAGAACCAGTAGTGGAAATTTGGAGTAGTTTGGAGAACTGGCCAATACCACCTCTGACTGGAGATTTTACAGTATCCTTTCCCTGCCACGTCCATCGGGTCACACCCACGCTGGTAGTAAAAAAAAATTGAATCCCATCACTGATCAGTACTGACAAAAAAAAAATCACCTCATCCAGCGGGACATGACGAATTGGTGTGCCATTGATTTCCAGAATGCGGTCGCCAACATGGATGGAATTCTTCATATCGGGGCTTATGCAGTCTGGGTCTAATCTAAGAATACAGAAGGGGGCAGCAAAGGAGACTTAAGTTACTCTGTTCTGGAATATATGTAAGCCCTATTTCGGAAATCCGGAAACTCAGTCAACAAACACATTTACTCACAGGTTTGGTGAAAAGTAGTTTATTGCAGATTGTTTCCTTCCAGTGGGCGAACAACGGCAACCCCGAGCAAAGCCAGCGCTGAGAGTGAATGCCTCCCAGCGCCTTTTATGCCCCATCCCCTTCCCATTCCCTAACTAATTAACCCCATGAGCCACCGCCCCGCAATCCTAATCGCATCTATATCCGACGCCCAGAACACACCTAACCCCGAAGTGCTAACTCATAAGCCAAAGAAAAAGAAACCACAATAAGATGAGTTCCCCTCCTCATCGCTGGAACCTAATACAATCCTTAAGCCCTGCAATTAAAGATAGTTCGGCAGGAACTTGCAATGGATCCACATTGTTACGTTCTGTAACTGGAACAGGCAACAGTCCCGTGTTGTTTCAGCGAGGGGAACAGCTAGTCAAGTAGGAGGCACAGATTCGAAGACTTATCTCCTACTCCCTATTAGGTGGCTGGCAATGTGTCAGGCACGATTAGTGAAGCCCGACAATATATCTTCCAAACTAAGCCTCAGGAAAGAGATAGCATGCTAGAGCTTTCTCTGAAAACTAGAGGAGAAGGATCAAAGCACCTAGATTCCATCACCCTCCTCTTACAATCAATCAACATGATGTAGACCCTCATTCTTCAGCCAGATGTCCTTCAGATGCGTTGGGATTGCAACTCCTAAGCCATTCAGTTTAAGGCTTCTAGGCATTGCAATCAACACATAAGGAAAAGGAGTTGTGAAAAGAACAGAACTTATTAAACAGTTCCATCTCTCGAATAAAATCAGGTTTTTATTTTGTCAGTTGCCCCTCTTTTCTGACCTCCACACTCAGATTCTCATGATATTCTGCAGATCGTTTGATTACATCAGATATCACCTCATATTCTCTGAAAATACACAATTATCTGACACCAAGAGTACCAGACAATTGCGTCTGACAAATAATTGAGTGGTTCCTTATTTCACAGTTATTTCCATGTAACAGTCTTGAGATTTTCATGGGATTGGATAGACAGCTTGCAAATGTATGACTTGTATTATAGACTGATTGGTATCATACAATGGTAACTAATATTTGATATCTGACAGTTTAGGGAAATTCTTATTTAAAGCCTACCCCGACCAAAAATATGCCAGCGAGACTCAGAATAGGTAGATAAAAAAAAGAAAAAAAGAAATGCCTGTTAAATTTCAGATGTCAAAATGTTAAAAATCTACATTTGTAATGCCAAACTGTTGTAAATAGCCTCTATCATTCAGAACACCCCAGAGGTCTGATATGGAAAGCTACAATTTCTGAAGAACAACATTTCCTAATGTCTGGCAGTCTGTACTCACTCACGAACTCGCACAGTGTGTGTGTGCTCAGAACCTCCATGCTTGTCAATGGAGACGGAAAACCCTCGCTTGCTTTCGGAACATGCTGGAATAGACACCAGGGTAACCGTGTGTGGAATCCGGGTGCCGGGAGATTCTGGAAGCAGCTGATCCATCACGGGTGTCACCACCATCTGGTAATAACAGTGCCCACTGCAGCATGGAAGAAAAGGTACCACAAGCTAGGACATCCATTTCCAAACCTCAGGACGAAAGAGCCCAAGGCTACCACCAGAAACTGACTGAAGAATGTTTTAAAAGCTTGCTGAGAAACACCAATAGGTCTCCTCTGGAAGAGGTAACCCTCCAAAAAAAAAGAAAGAAAGAAAGAAAGAAAGAAAGAAAGAAAGAAAGAAAGAAAGAAAGAAAGAAAGAAAGAAAATGAATAAGGATTCTTCTCTTTTTCTTTCCTTTCTCTTTTTCGGCATACTTTTTATTCTCTATTTTACTATCCCTTCAGTGTTTAGTTTGTTTATAATTATTATTAGAATTTTCAAACCGAGCAAATTGAGGCCAATCTCTCCCCACCACCTACCTCCAAAGTGTGTCCAATCTAAATTTACAGGGCCTTTGTTGTGAATTCAAAATTAGGGACGATCCCAATGATCTCATTCAGCCAAATTCCCACTCACCAGTACAGCTTGGATCGTTCCACCAGCGCGTAAGTATCTCCATCGCCAATGAACACCTGGCAGTTCAGGCAGCTGAAGCATTCAGGGTGATATTTTTGCTCCCCAGCCACCTGGAAGAGGAACAGATAGACATGAGCTCTTGTCTCTCTTCTGGTACACACTCTTCTCAATCACCCTTTTTCGGGTGGTCCTTCCCACCATCCAGCAGTATCATAGAGCTCCTGTTCAAAGGAAGAGTGGCAAGAGGCCAAAGATGATTCAGTCCTGAAACCCAACATGAGCAGGCTCAGGCAATGAAGTTCTGATCCAGATGCTTCACACTTCCAGAGAAAGAGATTTAAGGAAATCATTGGGAGAATGATGAAAGGATCACATCTAAAAAAACAAACAAACATGCAGGTGGGACGCCAGGCCCATATAAAAGCAGAAAAGACCAGAGAGAAGAGGCAGATTGACAGTCATTCCTAAATCAAATAATATTTGGGTAATCCACTAATTCGCAAAACATTCGGTTTGCACAAATTAAACAAACTTGCCCAAACTTGGACAGGAGGTTGGATTAGAAGACCTCTAAAGTCCCTTCCAGCCCTAGGATTTTATGAACAGATTTAAGTGGCTAGGTGATTCATCCATTTTGAGTTCATATAGCACATTGATTTATTTATCTATTAACTATTTTAATGCAATATAGTCTTCTAGAGATTCCTGGTATTTCATAGAATAAAAAATATTAAAAAATCAAATAAAATCTGCCCTGTGCCACCAAAGCCAAGCATTCTCCTCCTCCTCCTCCAAATCATTTAAAGTGTTCAGTCTTCTGGAAAATGGAAAGTACCAAACAAACTTCAGGAGGAAAAGTGTTGTGAAGCATATGCTAAGCAGCAACGGGTTCTTCCTCCATCTCTCTTTCCTCTTGCTTCTTTTTGGGAGTGGGACTTTTAACAACCCTCTTTAGACTAAATGAATCAGATGAGTCAGTTCTGTTTGGTGTATGTGGTCCTTCAGATACTCCAGTACCAAATCATGAAGATGTTATAGGTTACAATCAGCAGTTTGAATTGTCCTTGGAAGCCAATGCAGAGTTCGCAGCACAACTGGACTCTGGCAAGAGCTCTGATGCTGGAAAAGGTGGAAGAAAAGAGAAGAAGAGGGCAAGCAGCAGCAATGTGGCCAGACTCAGTTATGGCACTGATGGTACACCACTAGAAGATCTGAAGGACAAGGTTAGGGATCGATTGTTATGGAGAAAATGTATGTGGTTGTTAAGAGTCCACACCAACTTGATGGCACATAAGCAGTCAATAAGCCAAATTAATTTTATTATGTGATGATGGTGTCAGCCATCACTCCTGATGTACCAGTTCTAAGTCAAGATTATCCATACTCCAGGTTCCTTCCTCAATACTCAGAGATTTTATTTGATTAGAATTCTACCTGAAGTCACTTTCTCTGCAGGAGTCCCTTGCACTTTCATAATTGTCCATTTACTGTCCCCTGATATTGGCAGCTGTTTCCCTCCTGTGTAGGTCACCACATACTGCTTGCAACTGAATCTCCAAGCTTTCTTGGTTAATAGTTTGCACTTTACAATGGAGCAACAGCTCTGCTGCCTTGGACTTCGGACTGCCCTTTTCTCTCTCTCTAATGCTTTCTTAATTTTTTCTCTATAGAAGTCTCAAGGCATGCCTAAGATCAAGCTCTTAAACTGCATTTGGAGTTATTGCCTTCTTCCTTTCCAACTTGGGCTACTCTGATTCCAGCTTCCTGACTTATAGATCTTCAGATACAACAGTGAGGCATTTGGGGAAGGTAGTTCTACTTCAGTCTTGCTGAACTGAATCAGGGAGTCTGTGTGTGTGAAACAGAGAGAGAGAGGGAGAGGGAAGGAGTGGGAGAGAGTGTTGAGTAGCTGCTAAATATTGAATCTCCCTGGCCAACTGATTGTAGCAGACACTCTTAACACTGCAGACCAGCATTTTTTAACTTTCTGAGCTTTTGGCAACCCAAACAGCTGTGCCTGGTGGAACCTAAGAAGGATCGTTAGATTTCTCCAGATCTTTCATGGAATAAGATCCATATTGCATTTAAAATCACCATTGTACTTTCCATAATGTATTTCTTTTGCTTCACATTTCCTCATTATCCTCAGACAAAATTACTATTACCTCATAATTTATTCTGGCATGTTTAGATCTATAACCCCATATGCTCCAAATGCTAAATGCCACGGTTGGGTTCACAATTAACGTCACGTTGTGGATTTCCTTCCCTACCTTCTCTAAAAGGCTTTCTGTCAGTTTCTCCATATTTTCCATTAGTTCATCCCACAGCTGTTATTTTCTGTCTTAACTCAGAAACATTCAATTTCTTCCTCATTTCTGCAGACACTTCTGACTAGAGGACACCCACATAATACTCTCATCCTGGGATTGACCAACAATTCAGTTTCCCTTTTAGGTTGGTGGTTTCCCATAAGTCTCATGACAGACAATCTCTTAAAAAATTTAAAGATGTGTTTCTTCACTTTGCCACAGAAACAATTTGATTCTTTATTGTACAATCCTCTTTAGATTCTATCTAAATTTCTTAAATTTCTGTTATATTCTCATAAACCCCCGGCAGACCTCTGAAAGGTAGACTGCATGTTCACATCGAACAAAAATGCTCTGGTGCTAATATGAGGTCTTTTTGCTTGTTTTCTGGCCAAGTAGTTACTTCCCTTTTGGGTATTCCTTTAAAATATGAATCAACAATTATTTCAAGCAGTGGCCACAATCATGTGATTTTTGCATGGTCAAAAATGCTAAAAATAAATGTGTGTGTGTGTGTGTATACATGTATGTATAAAATAAATAGGCATCTAATTAAAAATGGCCAAATTCTCATGCCAATTTGGCCATTCTTGCCAATTTGGCCTTCTGCTTTTTGCCATTTTAATATATTATTTTAAAGTATATTATTATTATTTAAGATAAAATATTTTTATTTTATAAATAAAATATTTATAAAATATTTTAAATAATAATATACTTTAAAATAATACATTATTATTTATTATTTATGTTATCATAGTAACTACCACCACCACTACTGTTATTATGTGTATTATGGATATCATCCTACTCATTATCACCATCATTATTTTAGAGGTTAGTGGGTTGCTATGGCACTTACGTGTGCTACCAAGATCCAATTTAAACCAATTTAAAGATCTCAATTTTCTGCCTTTTGTGTATTACAAGTATGAAGTAGAGCGTTGCTTTAACCTATAAAAAGAAAACAACTCAGCTATATTTACCTTTGTGCATTTTGATGAAAAATTAGGTTACTGGAGTACATATTTGTTTATTTATCTATTTTTATTACATTAATTTTTTTTATTACATTATAAATAAGTTAAGGCAGTGAGCATAACTAAGATTCCTTTCTCTTCTTATTTTACTCACAATGATAATCCTATAAAATGAGTTGGACTTAGAGAGAACGACTGGCCCAAAGTTGTTTAGCCAGTTTTTCATGCCTAAGGCAGGACTAAAACTCACTATCTCCTGGTTTCTAAGCCAGCATCTTAACCACCACACAAACTGGCTCTTCCCAGAAAGAGAGAAGTCAAATGGACTTTGCATTTATAATAGCTGGGTTTGGACTCTGATGCTTCCTTTCCTATATTGCTCTTATAAAAACGAATATTTTCTAAAGCAACTGTTGTTTCCTTTGGACGTGCCAACTTGTCCATGACACATAACGCTTTGTGAGAAGGAGAGGTGGTTTGGCAATCAAACTTGAGTGTAATTGACAATACTGTTTTGTAGTAAGAACAGAGTTAACTAACAAATGAAGACTAAGAAATGAAAGACAACTAGGAAACCATAGTGAAAGTATGTGGAAACAATGCCTTGAGCTTATTAAAAGCAATGAGAACAAAGCTTGATTAAAAGCAGCAGGGCTAGCTAGTGCTGGGACTTGCTGTTGGGGAATAGGGCTTAATGGCTCCCCCTGTGCCATTTTCCCAGGTTCTCACCTGCAAAGGTGCTATAGGCTCTGGAGAGAGGAAAAAAGGGCATATCCTGTTCGTTATCATCTTCTACCTACACGACTTTGATGGTTGACGTTGGTGCCAAGGATAGTCTATTTTCCCTCCAATACATGTCTCTTTTTTCTATTGCTGTATTTAAGTAACCAAATACCAGACGAAAGGATTTAAGGAGATCTATGCTCCGGCAGTCGCCTCTCATTCAATTTTTGTCTCCCTCCCTCTGCAAGCACTGGTTGGTAGCTCCACATCTATTCCTCCTCCTCCTCCACCTCCTCTTTTGTTAGGTCTTTCTCTCCCTCCCTCCCTCCCTCCCCCCTCTCTCTTTTTTTCCCATTTCCAAAAAGAAAAGCTGAAAACCAATGGAAGGACCTTTAGATTGGACCTGTCTTTATGCCCTTTGCAATAGCCATAGCATTTCTGAAGTAGCAGCATCCAGAAAAAAAAAAAGGTTCATGATTTGGTTATATGCAGTTCTGAATCCGGTGCAAAGGTGTATTTCTTGCTCACTATTTCCACATCAATGGCCACAGCCAGAGGAAAAATATGCTGGACAGCCTTAGAGATCAGAGATGCACAAGCAGGCCTTCATCACTGCATCTTAACAATCCATATCCCTTTAAAGCTGACCTCTGAATTGCCAGACGAAAGGACAACATTATTAAACGTAGGGAACAATAATCACCGGGATTGTATTTCATGCAGTCAGTGTTACATTTTCCATTTAAATTAAATAATATCATGCTGAGTTTTTGCCATGGCTCTACTTACTTCTTTTTTCTGCCCCACTTGCTTTTTGGATTGTGATCACTTGCATTGTTGCCCCCTCCCCCCAAAAAACCCCAAGTTATATCATCCAGTGATGCTCTCCATGGATGTCCTCTCTTACCATGACAAGCCCTTTGGTGATCTGCTCTGAGCAGCCATGGCACAGTTCCCCAAAGTGGGCCCAGTAATCCTTTTTGCAGTAGAGACGACCATCCTTCTCGTAGTACTGATGGGAAAGCAAAGCTCCACATTCGCAGCACCTGCAGGGACAATAAGAAAATAGGTTTTCAGCCTCAGGACTTTTAATGGAAACTTACCACATGCAAAGCTTCCAAAAGCAGAGCTTGAAGGAGTCATAATCCCACAGGTTCAGAGGGGTTGTGTTTGACCAGCATGCTTAATTTAGACTGCTACTGATTTAGTCAGACCAAATTACTCTTGGATTCGGTAGCACATGCTTGTTAGGTTAAGAGCCACTGATTTGGGAAAAAGAGAAACCTTGTTCAGTTCTTCCTTGTCGCCTTGTTCCCGTGCAACACAGCATCTTGTGTCCTTGTGTTGTCTTACTCCAGTGGCTATTTCTCTTTTGCTTATACCAGGATCCATGAGTGCATCTTGGACTATTTAGCCAATTAGTGATTAGGACAGGTGTTCTGTGGCTGCCAAGCCTTAGCACTAAGATTTTTTTTTTAAAAAAAACTGGAATACCATTGTTTCCCCATCATTATCTACTTCTACAATATTGTGTTTCCTTGGAAGACCAGTGGGCAGTGCAGGAAAGCTAATTTAGAAGTGTGACCCTAGAAATGTGTGATATATTGTATGAAATCTGTTTCTGGGTTCCATAGTACAGGTAGTCCTGGGCTTAACAACACTTCACTTAGTGGCCGCTTGAAGTTACAACGGCACTGAAAGAAGTGACTTATGACCATTTTTCACACTTATGGCCGATCCAATTTTAGGGTGTATCAAATTTTTCAACTTTCAGTTTCCAAACATTAGGGATGCTCAAAAATTGTAACATGTTTTCCCATGATCACATGATTTACATTCAGATGCTTGACAACTGACTCACATTTATGATGGTCACAGTGTCCCGGGGGTGGGGGGGCATGTGATCACCTTTTGTGGTCTTCCGACAAGGAAAACCAATGGGGAAGCCAGATTCAGGGGTGGGATTCTACTGGTTTGAACCAGTTCTATAGAACCAGTTGTTATGATTCTGGGCAGTTCGGAGAACTGGCAAATCTTTCCCCTGGCTGGCCCCGCCCCTCTCCAAAAAGAAGGCACGCACACCCAGTCACATGGCCACGCCCACCTAGCCATGCCCACAGAACCGGTTGTTACAAAATTTGAATCCCACCCCTGGCCAGATTCACTTAACAACCAAGTTACTAATTTAACAACTGCAGTGATTCACTTAACAAACAGAGCAAGAAAAGTTGTAAAATGGGGCAAAACTCACTTAACAAATTCCTCACTTAGCAACATGAATTTTGGGCTCAATTGTGGTCATAAGTTGAGCACTACCTGTATATCCTGATTAGAGGAAGCTGCTTTGGCTAAGGATTTTTACAGAATACATTGGAAGTAGAATGATCCCCCAGATCTAGAGTTAACAGTTTTGGGGTTCACCCAACAAGCTGATCTTGAAATGCCCCAGTTATACTGTGTAAATGTAGCCCCAAGTGGAATATTTTATGTCTTATTATGAAATGCTCTTCAGGCTAAGGGGGAGAAAATTTAAATGGCTAAACCATTGGACCATACTTCCCTAGGTAAGAGGCAGTGTGAATTTAGCCATTATGAGATTATTAAACCCAATCTTTCGTTTTGTGGATTGCTACAGTTCTGGTTTTTTGGACTTTTAAAATAATCCATCTGGGACACATAGAGAGGACTGCATACTGGTACAGTCCTGATCAAATTAAGAAGTATTGTAACACTATAAATATATGCGGTCCTGGTTCAATGAAGACATCTATCTAGAATATTTTCTTAGTTGACTGCTCCTTTCAGCTCAATGAGAGGAATCCATGCCAATAAGAGAAAGAAGGAACGTTAATTTCCTCTGAATCCTTTTTCGAAAGTGACCTCTTAATGTCCCCATGAAGCAGAGGATATGACAGCAGATTTGAGACTAATAATAGAATATATTTCTTCACTCATTCCTATAACTAATTCACAACCACAAATTACAGAGAGGGACTCTAGATGTCTTTATACAGGATTTGGAGAAATTAATTGAGATAACCCAACATAAGTTCTGGTGGACAAGAACCTCAATTTTTAGAAAGAAAAAAAAAAGGCTAGGAGCATGCAGAAGTAATCTCTATTTTTATTCTTCTTCTGAGTATTTTACATGGGAGGGGCCAGACAGGCATAGCTGCTGTGGATTTCTCCCGAAGAGAAATGACACAGGAGATTCACTTCTTATTTAGATGTGGCCTGTTGCAAAATCTCTGTTTTTCTTTTCATGCCACATGATGCACTGTAAAAATCCTGACAAGACCAAAGCAGTTGTGGGCAATTCCATTTCTGGAACAAGTTCTGTATCATGAAGTAGGATTAAGGTCACATCCAGAATCTCTTCCAGAACCTCAAAAGAAGCCATCTTGTCCACTCAGTTGAACCATTGCACCCATTCATATAACTCCTAGGAACCTTTGGGCCAGAAAGTGGCACAGTGGTTCACGGGCACCAAACTACTTAGGGAACATATGCTGGTCTAGGACCATAATAAATATTGTTCTGTTTTGCTTGACCTGTGATAACCTGGGACATATTGTGGTCTTTAGCTTCCCGATCCATTATTTTTTGTAAACCAGCTGGATTCCCAAGATACTTTTTCAAAAGGCAGCTGGACTTACTTTGTTTTTCCTTGAAGACCTTTCATTTCTCATCCAAGAAGCTTCTTCAGTTCAGACTGAAGAAGCTTCTTCAATGAGAAGTGAAATGTTTGAAGTCTGAGAAACAGGCCCCACACCAGTCAACAAGAATACTTGATTTGCCACCAGCTTATCAAGTACTTAGAAGCAAGAGCTGGGCAGCACAAGCAAATGACAGCCAATAACTTAATAGCCAGCCATCAACACTCCCCAATCAACATCTAAAAAGTCACATACAACAGGTACCACATAAATAACACGCACAGATACAGCACACTCTCTGATGGAGAGAAGATCCCTAAAGATGGGCTTCAACACAAAAGCTCGGAAGACAAAATCTCTGTTCCCAGTGACCGATCCTGATAGGATCCTGTAACATTTTCCTGGGACATTTATATTTGGCTTCATTCATTAGGTGAAATCTACTTTAGGCTTTAGACTATTAGTTTCTGTGTCCCGTTGTCCCCACCTCCGATGTATGGGTCACTTTGCATAGTTGCACATTTCATTGAATTTTTGGCTAATTTACAAACACCTAGCTGGGGAATTCTGGGACTTGAAGCCCACACATTGTAAAGTTGCTGATACTGAGAAATACTCAATAATTATTTCTTCAAATAATATTACAAATGCATCTAAGTGTTGATTATTTTAATTAGATCCTTGAAACTCTGATCATTCATGCCGGTCGTGAATTTACCCGCTGTCCTATTAGGCTACAGCTAAAGATATTGTGTGGAAATGTTATTTGCTGGGCAAAGTGTGTTGTTCGGACACAACCATTTTGTTCCAAAATGGATTTTGTCTATTACCATGATTTATAATTAACTGCAAGCATAGTATCTGGTCGCTAAACACTCTCAGTGAACTGACAGATGTTGTGGCTGATGAATCAGCTGCCATTTAGAATCTGCAGCTAATCAATTACGTTCAAACTGCAAGGTAAGTACCCTTCCAGCAATGCCAATAGCATCAGATAATATGAAACGGATTATTTTTTTTGAAAAAAGAATTGTTCTAATGACTGACCAGATGCAAAGTGGCTTCTGAAAATATGCAAGGACTTAGCTCTCTTCTCACATTTTGTTGGAAATCCCATTAGTTTCCTGGTTCTGCTAAACCAGTGCACCAATTAAAGAATACAATAGAATAATACTTTATTGTCATTTTAAATGTACACTAATCAGCATACATTAAAATGAAATTTCGCTGCATTCAGCTCTCAAAAGATAACCATTACACCTATACACCCACCCACACACACATATATGACATAGGGAAGCATCAGTCTAAAAACATTAATTAATTAAAAATTAATTAATTAAAAAATTAAACAGAGTGGTCAATGTCTGGAATACTCTACCTGACTCTGTGGTTTCTTCCTCAAACCCCAAAAACTTTAACCTTAGACTGTCTACTATTGACCTCACCCCTTTCCTAAGAGGTCTGTAGGGGGCGTGCATAAGCGCACCAATGTGCCTACTGTCCCTGTCCTATTGTTTCTTTTATTTTTCTTATATGTATCCATGTATGCATAACTATTGTATGTTTTTACTTATACCTATTATCTTGTAAGCAATTGACTAAATAAATAAATAAATAAATAAATAAGCAAGCTGTAGCAATTTAACCACAAAACCCAACCAATTATTACTTGCCCTTTGGCACACTGACAGGGAGAAAAAGTGTACAATGGTACCTTGGTACTCAACTGTTTTGAGACTCATCCAACTAAGTACTCAATTCATTTTGCTGTGAAAATTTTGTCCTGGTACTCATCGTTTGGTATGCAATGAGCAAATTAGAACTAGCCGGTTTTGGTTTGCCTCGTGACTCGCTACTTTTTCCACAGAAACAAAGAGGGACACGTTAGTCATGCAGTAGATCTTGCCATGTGCATATCTTTGCTTCTGTGACCATTTTGTGCACTTTTGCGCTCCCCTCCCTCATCAGTAAAAAAATGAAGCTTTTTTATTTTATTTAACCTAAGTATTTATTAATTCTTGGGTTTATTTCTCATGTAATGATATACAACCCCATCTTTTTAAAATGCCTTAAAATGTGTGTTGTCTTTGGTTTGGGAACGCATTAAATTTATTTACATTGTTCCTTATGGGCAAAATTTGTTTGGCACTCATTGTTTTTGGTACTCATCATGCCTCCCGGAACTAATTAATGACGATTACCGAGGTACCACTGTACTTGCTTCTGAATTTCCAGGTGAAAAATTCCTCTGCTTTTAGGCCATTTGAAGGCATCATCTCCTTGACTGTATTTCCCCCCAACCCTTAACTTTATGTTTAATTTGAAATGGAGCTGGAAATAAGAGGAAAGTTCTCAAATATCTTTCGTACTGCTGCTCTCAGCTTCGT